CCCCAAAACCCCAAAACCCCAAAACCCCTAATAACTCAAAGAAAGCTGAATAATAAAATTATTTAAATGGACCAAAGGAGCTTCTATATTGCCAATAGGATCAGGAATAGGTAAGACCCTCCCAGTGCCTTCCAGCAGCTTGGAGATTCAAGCATGGGGAAAGTGAAGTGATAGAAGACATTTTAGGGAATTTATGGGTTGATAAGTGTTTAGCAAACCAGCTGATGTACCCAAGATCGTGATCAGAGATTTTAGACATAAGAACAAAACATCTACCAGGCAGAATAGTAAGGATCAAGGCTGAGCTTTAGGAAGTAGAAAATAAGAGTAAGAAATCAAAAGTTAGACGCATGGAGAAGTTACAAAAGCATCTTAGAGCTAGACAGACTGGGAATGAGTAAGTTTTATGAGAAAATTTAGATATAGAATGAGTCAAAATGTATCTCCGAAGTATAATATCCTTCCTCCAGTGGAAATGAGAAGTACAAGAGTGCTTTCAAAGCAAAAAGTGAAGGGTTTTAGTCATAATTTGAAAATAAAAATGAAATTGAAATAAATCCAAGGAGAAAAAGCCGACAGAGTCTTTTGATAATAAGCCTCAGAACCTTGAAGAGCTTCAAATAGAAGATAAAGGGGTGAATGAATCATCAAATTTATATGATCTTAGACCTAAGTAATCCTATATCTTACAATGTTTTAAAATAGATTTAGATCTCAGGCAAGAATTAATGGGAAATAAAAATAAGGCTAGCTTTGATGAATACATGATTAATCCTCACTCCACCAGCAAAGGTATTCAGCATCGTTTCAGCTCTATATAGGTCTATTAAATATGTCAAAGCCTGACCAGTCGTCCTTTATCAGGACCAAAATCTGCAATAGTTCTACAAGACAGTCCCGGTTAGAGAACTTCGTTAAAAATATTGATAAAAAGTACGTTTTAGCTAATTTCTAGGCCTGGTTTATCAGAACATGTTAGCTTCAGCAAGAACAAGAATATGAGTAAGAAATCTGATCAATCTGTAGAGAAAGGACTATTTGTGATATCCAAGCAGCTATCAGAGAACGTGTCTATTTATGATACCCCTAAAGCTCCCGATAGGAAATTTAATATGAAGAATTTGTTTTAGTAAGATCATTCCTAGAGTAAATTCAAGTGCTAGAAAGCAAGGAAAAGCTGGATTTATGAATTTTACCAGCAATGATGCTTCTCTTAATAACTTGAATACTCAGTTTATCGGAGATGAAGGACTAGAGCCTTCACTTGAGAATGGAGTCCTTGGTGAAATGATGGAGGATATCAAAAAGTCAGAGGATTTTAGATTCATTCAAAAGCACGCGTATCGTTCCAACGAACGCACATGAGATAATGCATTATTGACTAGAGAAATGAACTTATTTGACTCAAAATCAACAAACACTGGACAGGAGAAGAGCTACTTCCAATTCCAAACAGCGTACATTGAGAATTGTAGGAAGTTTAGAATATTACCTCTCCCATTACTCAAGAAGATAAAATACTCAGTACTCGTATTAGACAATTACCAACTGAGTTCTCAGATTTCCAAGGCATTCAGTAATAGCATGTATTTCTTGAGTAGCTACATCACTGGGGTCAAGTTGATTAATAATAATATGAAGGATGCAGACATTGCTTGCTTTCTGAAAGGAATGATGTACAACCCAATAAGTATTCATGGCAGCTAATTTGTAGAGGACCTGACCATTGAGAATAATATCCTGAGAGAGCAGTCAGGTGAGGCTCTGTGCAATATCATCAACGCTCTGGAAAATGATAAAGTCCTTGATATCTATTCGAAGACAATGGAGTTCGGCCAGGTAACGACTACATTTTACTCTTTAGGATGAGAAGTATCTCGACGTTAAGATTAACATTACTAAACTTGAGCTTATTGATTGAGATATCAAAGGGATTCTCTTGAAGAAAATTATGAGAGAGATTAGAGTTAACAGAGAAATCGAGGAATTAAGACTCTCTTCTATAGATTTTTCCACTGATATTATTTCAAATTTATCTGAATTTGTTGCCAATAACTTTGCATTGAAAAGCTTGAATTTGTCTTGGTCGGAGATTTCAAGTGATGATTTGTTGCTGTTTCTCTCAAGAATAGAGCAGATCAAGCACTTGCAACATTTTGATATTTCAACAATCCCTTTTCAAGGTCCATCTTTGGATAAACTAGTTGATCTATTGAAGCAATTCATCATTAACAATCCTTCACTTATTCATTTAAACATTAGTAGTTGAAATTTAAGCAGTAATGAGATAAAGATTTTACTTGAAGGCATCAGAAAATCAAAATCCTTACTCTCAGTACATCTTAGTGGGAACACCAACCAAGAAGATATAGCCAAGCTGCTTGGAACAAACTGTCGCAAACCCTCGTTGAGCCAATTAATAAGCGGAAGACCTGGTGAGAGTCTTAACATGAATAGATCGGTTTAAAAAATTTCTTTCTTCAAGCCCTGGAATGAGAGAAAAACTCCAGAATCGGCTTGATAGCCATAAACGACAATCTATGATGCTAGAACTGTATAGACAGAATCAACAAAAGAAGTTAGGACTTGCTCAAGAGAGAAAGTCCAAATTTGAAACTGTTGACAGTAGAGTTATCCTCTATAGGTTCCTTGGACATCTCGAAATCCATGATGGACATGTCTGGAAGTTGAGCACAAGCTGTTGGATCTGTGATAAATGGCAGTACACATGTCTAATCACTAACCCTCTAACAGCACATTCAAATTTTAGGCAATCTAACTCATTTGACAGTCATTATATTCATAAATAAAATTAGTGACTGGAACAAACCTTCAAAGTTACATGAGTTAAGTAATACAGAGACTCCCATCATCACAGGATCTTTCTGTAAATGGAAATGTCAGAAGATGATCAAGATCGAGAAGTTTTACGACTGTCTGCTCAAAAACAGACTTCCAAACGAGAGAATCTACGTTAAGGAAGAAGGCAATGATCTTATGACCAAGATCTCAAAGATTTTAAACACAGAAATTTACACTATGTTTCGCAACCAGAAATGATTCGCCTCAGAGAGAAAGCCTACTATCATGAGTAAGATCATGGAGAAGAAGTCTGAAGAGAAGAGAAATAAGGAGAAGTCAGCAGAAATTATGATGAAGTTCCTTCTTCGTCAAAAATTTGCTAAAAATCCAGTATATTCTATAGATATGTAAGTGTAATGAATCAGGTTTAGGATGAACCCTACATCTAAGAAGCATTGCAAGATGTTGAAATGAATCAAGAAAACAAGGTTTTTCAATATCCTTTTTAAAACAGGGGCAAAGCAAAATGCAATCATTTACCGCTCTAGAAGGTATGGGGGTATTTTTACGAATGAAATTGAGAAATTGATGAAAAGAGATTCTCCACATTTTGTTATACCTATGAAAGATATTGTTCAAGACCACCAGGGGCTTCTTGAAGGCTATAAACAGAAAAACCTTACTAACCAAGAGCTTAGTCAATATTTTGTGTATGCAACATTCATGCCTCCTGGGGATACCAAGATAATCATTAATTATGATGGAATTGAGAATAAGGAGTCTCACAATCTGCTTGAGTCTATAATCCCAGTCAGGAAGAGAGATGTAAGGATTTTGGTTAATCTTTAGCTGGTTCTTCACAAGAAAATGATCAAAAAGAAGTTAGTAGTCAGGCAATTCCAGAAACATCTTTCTGTCTTCAAAGACTGGATGCCTGATACTCAATATAGCTTGAGATTGTCATTAGATAATGATCTAAAATACTCAAAACTTCGCAGGTTCATCACCTCGAGGTCTGAATTCAATGAAATTTACTCTATTCTACTTGACAATCTGCCAAGACTAAAGGAGATATTTACCTACTGAATCGGGGTATCTTCCTATCCATATATATCATGGTTGGAGTTTTATAGACTTTGAGAGCAACTGCACATCCCTGACCGGGGGACATGCTCTAAGGCAACCATAGACAACACTTTTATCACGACTAATTTTGAGCAGGTTGAGTTGGAGGACAACCCTGATAAGTCACTTTGTAGATACGAGTTTTATGAAATCCTGATTAGACTATCCTATGCGAAGTACATCAAATCTAACACAGACAGAACTTTATCAGAGGCTTTTGGAAGAATGCTCAGTGACAATGTGTTTAAATATTCTGACTTCGCCATTGAAGGGCAACAATGGCGTGAAGATTACCTATGGACTGTCCAGCTAGACGATCTATACCAAGCTAATTTGGAGCACATAAGAAGAATTTTCAAAGTAAGCGATCTATTTCATGTGTAGCTAATCAAGCATGAGAAGTTTCCGTACTGCACATTGTCAAGTCTGACTGACTTCTGCCATAAACTAGATCTGAGTCTTTCGAAGCGTAAAATTGATTTATCGTTCTCTTTATGTAAGATGACTGTCGTCAATGAGATGGAAGAGAGTGCAAAGCTTGAGCAGCTGCTGTTCCCTGAGTTTTTAGAGTTTATCGCCAGACTTGGCCAACAAGTCTTTGAGAAGAATGAAACTATGAAGCTGTATGATAAGGTAGGAGAATCTTAATATTCTGAAACTGACGTTTATTCTTAGATTTAGCTGATCCATAAGGTTGGCTGAGAATGTAGAGAAATTATTTTGAGGTTTGCTGAGAGCATAAAATTAGTCAGACAGGGTTTTGTAAACTATGGCTTTTTGGGAGATTTTGGTTTTAATTTCTTCTTAAGTTAGAGACTCATCTTTTATCTGGAGAGTAATAGTAATTAATTCATAGGTGTTCAAGATTCTTCAAAAAATGTTCTTAATAATAGAAGAAGAAGCAATTGACCCTTACAGAGAAGGCAGCAACGGAATTGAAGAGGAAGAAGAAACAGATGAAGAAGAATACAGTGCCTAAACCCAAAATCAACTCCCCAAACCACCTATATTCCCCTCAAAATATCTCAACACACTAAATCCGCCCCGGGGTTTTGGGGTTTTGGGGTTTTGGGGTTTTGGGG